TATATTAAACTAGTGAATCAATATTTTGTGAAGGTTACTATGCATTAATTGAAGATATTAAGAACCGAAGAAGCTTATTTTTATTCGTAGAGAATATTAAATTACTTTTAAAATCGGCAAAAGTGGGTTTAATTTTTTCATAAAAGTTGCTAAGAGAATAAATATAATACTGATTTAAAAGTAATACGTTTAATATCAAAAACAAGTACATTTAAATAAAATTTTGGCTCTTATATATAATTACTTTACTTTGGGCTCTTATTGCAATTATATTCATTTTTCGGGCCCTTATATATAAATTCTCTAAAAATTTCAATAGGACAAACTTGCGTTCCAGGTTATTCTTGTTGCTTAATTATAAAGTTCTTCAGTCTTACCAACATAAAGAATTTTAAAATTATGTGTCACCCAATATTTAAAATTTTGGTTTTGTAAATTTTGGATTTTTAAATACAGTTCAACATTGATTATATTTATTTCGATCCAGAAAATTGTATTTTTCTATTTATTTAAAATTAAACATTCAAAACCTTTAATATAACATACGTAATATAATAAATTAGTAAGTGATTTTGGGTTTACTAATTTCTCTACTACTTCCCATTGGACGAATACAAATATCATTTTCCATTGGACAACCTAATTACATAATTGACCAGGGTAGCTAAAAATTTTATGTAATCATCTAATGTGCTGCAATTAAAGAACAAACTACTTTTTTTCGCAATGATTACACTGATTAAAATTTGCTCTTTTGCATGTGAACGTTTAAATAAAGTTTCGCCAAAAATTTTTATTATATCTACCTTTTCTTTTTTAAATCATACTGCTATACGAAATTCTGAAAACAAAATAAGTATTAATTTCTTTTTTTTTTTTATACTTTGTTTTATTCGTTTTGTTTTAGTAAGTGTATGTATAATTTACTAATTATTTAGCAACTTAACAGTAAGTAATTTTAGCCATGGCTGAGCTGATTAAATGATCTATTATATTAATCAATTGTTACTAGGTGATGTTGTTACTTTCAAATAAAAAAAGTTCAACAAAAGGGTTTTTGAAAGGAATTTCAATAATTTTATTTGCAATTTGGCCAAATTTTCGAAGAAAAATACATAACCACAAATTATTTTATTATTTGTAGAGTTGTTTTCCAATTTTACTATAGTATTCTGTTGAGTTTCTTGACAGTTAGTAAAAAGTTTCTCTGTTGCTTCTTCTTTTTTGGGAAATACCAGCATCATTTTACAATTCTGAAATATCATTTTCATATTTCATATTAGATGTTTCTATAATAATTAGCAAACTAGCACCTATTAAAATATTGTGTCAGAGTTACTGTACAATTTCCGAAAGCTATTTCCCAAAAGAACATAATACTGATTAATTATTTATTCTTTCAGAAAATGGCTTTTAAAACTTAAGTAGATTATTATATTAGTATTTAAAAAAAAATCTATTATTTAGCAATTTGCACTAGCATTTTATTTATTTGCGGTATTTTAATAGTATCAATAAAATGAATTTAAAATATTTCAAATGTTCATGCTAATGATTTTTTAAACAAAAATAAAATTATGGCCAGAATATAATTCATGAATTTTGTAACAGAGTTTGTTTTTTTAAAAATTACAAGCTGTATATGTAAGTCTCAGCAAAATTTTATTCTCTTGAGAATAAAGTACTAAATAAAAGACTTGTAAAATTTTCTTTGTTATATCAGAAGCACTTATTTTCAGTATTTTTTTTTTTTTATATTACTATAGTAGCAGAAAGAATTTTGAAAGTTGAACTTTCATATTGAATTTTTTTTAAAAAAAAACAATTAATGTTTTTGAATTTTTCACTATGCTAAAATGGCATGATCTAGTATACACAATTGAAGAAAGCATTTCATACATCCAATTACAACTGGTAGGGGAAATTAGGGCTCCCAGTAATTTTAAGCTCTAATTTTCATTAAATTTTGGGTTCAAAAATTGCTCATCCCTGCAATGTTGGCCGATCTGTATAATGTAAAAATTGAAGCGAAACTACTTTTTTACAAAAAATAACAAATATAGCTTTAAATTTTAATTAGAAAACCACCTTCTGTGGCCTAATTTAAAATAGTATTTGTGAAATTTCACTAATAAAACAACTCTAATCCTACGCTAACCCATATTATAATGCAGTTTTAGTTTAATGTATAACCGTTTATTTAGAAAACAAATCATGTTTGTTTTGACTATCAGATTATATCTGATCTTAAATTTTAATTGGTCAAATTACAGAGGGTAGTGTGACCAATTTTTTGTGGGACTGCTACTAACATCGTGACAATTCTCTTTCATTTGGCACTAAATTATAACCAATCATTCAGTGTGACAAATAAAGAATTGCAATAGTTTTAGAAGAAGTTATTAAAGATTAATGTTAAGCAATAAAGTTGATTAAAAGCTATTAGGATTATAACAAATATAAATAGAGTTTCTTGTGCTACTTATACTCTTCAATTAGCAATTGGAAAAGGGATTAAACCTGCTAAGATATTAGTTTTTTCTACTAAAAGATTAATTAACTTTATGCTATTACAAAAGCAAACAAAATATTTATAAATTTAAAAAGTACTTTTAATAAATAAAAAGAAACATATCTTCAAGCAATTGTAGATGTTTTTACTTAATGAAACTTTTTATATATATTCTAAAAATAATTATTATAACATCAAAAGGCATTTAATATAATGTTAGCAATAATGGATGCTGAAACTAATTATAATACTAAAAAAGATACTAAATAACTCTATGCAATTATGCTAACTAAAGATGAATAGAAGGCCTTAAAATAATTAATTAATTTATTAGCACCTTTTGCTAAAGCAACTACTTTACTTGGAGGTAGTACTCATTCTACTATAAGCTTTATATCTCAAGCTATTAAAGTATTACAAAATTGTGGGTTTAGATAAATTAACTATAATAACAATCAAAATAAATCTAAAATCCAAAATATAAATTTTGATGATATTACTACAATATTTTATGATAAAGGAATTGTTATAATGATAAAATTGAAGTTACTAATAATGTTAATAAATTAAAGCAAATCAATTTATTAAAACAAATAGCAGAGTTTATAAAATAAAAAAACTAAATTAAAATATTACTAGAAATTGTTTTTAAAAAGTTCTTTAAATGCAATATTCTTAGATTCTTAAGATAAATTTTATGAATGGAAACTATACAAGACTTAGTCTAAAACATACTAATCAAGTTAGAGTTCATAACAAATATATATCATATACTTCCAAAATTAAGCACCCCTTTAGAGCAATTTTTATAGTCAACATTCTCATAATTAGTGTGCGAAATCGGATTGAAAATCCCGGTTGATCCGGGATTGATCCGAATCCGATCCGAATCTGTAATTCGGATTGAATCCGACGGTTGATCCGCGGTTTGTCACAATATTTGTCACAATTTGTGTGATAAATTCGAATTTGTCACAGGATTAATTCGAATATATCTCATAAATTGTGACACAAAGCGTGATAAGTTCGAAATTATCATGTAACAAATTCGAAATTATCACATGTGATGATTATATAAAGACGACCTAAAATTAGGCCCAATCCCGCTCAATCCGGGCCCAATCCATGATTCAGGGTCCAAAACTAATCCGACGGTTTGGATCCGCACAAATCCGAATCCGATCCGTGCCGACTTTTTCGAACACTACTCATAATCTAATAATCAAATATACGTAATTTTGGTACTATTCGAATCAGCTTGCCATAATGATTCGAATGGTACCAAAATTACACAGATCTGATTATTAGGTCATGAGAATTTTGGCTATAAAAATTGCTCTGAGAGGTGCTTAATTTCGGAAGTATACAGTAAATACTAATATGAATAATAAATTGCTTAATCTTATGTTTGGTAAAGAGCATGATGAGGTAGATTTATATTTAGAAGTAAAAAAGATAAGCTATAATGCTAATCCTTTTACATGGTGGAATAATGAAAACAAAATTCCCAATTCTTTCAAATTAAGCTTAAAAATATCTTTCAATTTCCACTACATCTACTGCTAAGAAATGTTTATTTCTTATTGTGAAAATATTATGAATACTAAAAGAACACAATTAAATAAAATTTTGGTTGAAAGAATTTTATTTTTTAAACCAATATTAATTGTTATACAAATTGTTCCTCCATCTAATATTATATACTTAAATTAAAATATACAATATATCTTTATAAACATTTATATATATTGATATATTTTTATATTCATTATTATAATATATATATATGATTATATAGGATCTTTACTAGGTTAATTCGGAAAAGCTTAGACCTTGCCTTAGGTATTCGATAGATTATTAAATAAACTGTCGAATCAGTAAAGTAAAAAGATGTTTTACATATGAATAAGAACCGGCATTCTGGTCTAAACTTTTCCGAATTAGTTAATCGGAAAATCCCGAAGGGTGATTTTCCTAGCAAAGATCCCATATCAAAAAAATTATTTATATACATATTAATATTTATAAAAAAACTGATTAAACCAATAATCGGATTTTATTTGCAAAATCAAATTTAAAACCGATATATCTTTTATTTTAAATCGGGTAGATATTTTAAACCAAATGTCCGATTATTGAGAAAATATCCGAAATATTCCGAAAAATCAATCAAGTATAGTAATTTTATAGCGTTGCATCATTCAGAGATAATAAATGCTCCGAGACATCTCATTGTCCTCCTTCTTTATTAAGGTCTAAAGGGAATCCTTAAATACATGATTATGAATGAACATTTATGCATTTACATTCATATTAACAGATCTTAAATGAATGCGTTTTCATATTAACTAAATTACAACTCGTGATTATCACCTATTAATCTACATCATAACACCGTACTGAATTGTATACTTCTGCGAAGATCCTATCAGCTATTTATATTCTCAGCCTGTAAATTTGCTAAATTTTCTTTCCTGTAAAAATAAAAATGAAGAAACATAGAATTTATTCATTTCTTCGCTCATCAATAGTTCAAGGTGTCGTCCTTGGGTGGGCTGCTTTAATTTTGATACTGGTGTCAGTTGTCCTTGCAGGAAGATTGTGTCAAGTGACAGATCTTAATATCATATTTAATATACGTGTAGGTTTATTATTGACAATCACAACTGTAATCACCAGGGTTATAACCTTTATTATAGCCTTTATGTTACCAGCAATCTTGGCGGGTATTTTTTCCTTTAATAAAGTACCCGACTTAAACGGATCAGCAAAAAAAATCGGTCAATTAATGAATGCATCAATGTCTCCCGGTTTATTGAGTACCGGAAAAGCTTGTTTTAATTGTGGTCCAATTCGAAAAATTTCAGTTACTGTCGCTTTAGCGTTAGTATGTCAATATATTATATCAGCTGCTGATTTATATATCCATCTTTCCGCAATCGGAATTTCTCAAAAAGCACCTGGGCCAAAAATCACAGGTACAAGAGCACTAAATATAGCAAATAACTGCTCTGAAGATCGTATGTACTATTATAATACCTGTGGACTATTTAGTGGTTTGGCTGGTTCAGTTGCTGGAGTGACATATCCTGTCAAATCTTTGGAGGTGTACAAAAATGTAAGCAAGACTTTACAAATTTGGCGTGCTGACGGAGGCGTTTATCTTTTGCAATCCCCACCTGAAAAAGCCTATGAGTACACTGGGTCTGGTATATTTTTAAAACCTTCCTGTGAAGCAATTAGTAGCACATGCAAGTTAACTGAATTGGGAAGTTCTGCTTTAATTTATTCCTGCCCTTCCTCATTATGGTCCGTTAATGGAATTGTAGATTCATCAACGATTAAACAGTATAATGTAAACATAACTTCAGTATATTATGATAGAATAAACGAAAAATCAATTGCATCTAACCCTATACATGTAATTGTTTCGGCTAAATATTCTTTAGGGACATTAGAAAGCGAAGATCCGGAATTCGTGTCCATTAGTAATGGTGATTTTGGAATCCTGATGCACTGCCAAATTTATGCCTCAACAGTTGAGTATGTTGTAACTCTTGGGTCACTAAAAGCTACTCTACTGGGAAATCTAACAAATGCACAACTTTTAGCCGTTGGCTATGCATCAAAAATAATGTCTCAATATGCAATAGATGATACTGTGGATGTGGCATTTCAAGGAAATAGTTCATCATACCTTGATGCATTTTCTCAACAATTTGCCCAAGCAACTATTGCTTCATTTGTTGGTGCCGTACAAGAGAACGGTGAAGGATATGATTACGTGCTTGAAGTAGATGACAATAAAACCTCAATACCATTTCATGTTATTCTAATTTATGCCATAGTTATTATTCTACCTGTTTTAATTTTTTCAATTGTCAGTATTCATTCTTTTCGAAATCAATCTGCTGGTATACTTGCAGAATTCATTTGTGTACCTCAAAGACTGTTCTATCAAGTTTTAATTAAAAATCATTATGAAGGCGATTCTTGTTTGGATAATTTGGCAGTGCAAGAAGACAAGATGATACAATATAAATGTAATATTGAAGTGAAAGAGCACCTTGAATTTCATGTATCAAATTAGAACTTTATTCTTAAGTTAGTTGAGAATTTGTAGGATGAATTAATTTTAACAATTCTTTATGAATTTTGTAAATGTCACAATTTTATAAAAATAAGTTTATATCTTACGAAAAAAAGTAAGTAAAATAAAAAAAAATTCATTAGAGCTTGGATCTAGATAGAAAATTCAAGTCTTAATGTAATTAATATATCTCATTATTAAAATCTTTAACAAGATAAAGTGTTCAATGTAATAAAAAAAGCTTCATACAACAAACATCCCAGGAAATAATATTATCAACAATTCATTGTTAAGAAAATTGTTGGAGAAATGATCATAGTGTGAATTGAAATTTTATAATTGTGCTTAGTGTGGACTAGTTTATCAACACTAAGTTATATTTAATAAAAGAAAAAAAATAGAACTTTAAAACAAGCGGGCATCTTAGTATCATTAAATCCTTTTACTGTTTCTCATATAGTTGAAATGCAAAATTCCTTCTGACAATAATATGCAGTTGCATTATTACTAAAGTTTCACACGACCAATAGTCCTGTGATTATTCTGCGTCATTTCACAATTTAGGTCGCCAAATTGACCTAAGTCATTTTTAAAATTTGAAACGATGTACGGTGAAACCGAATTTATACGAGCAGGTTTTAAAAATTATGCGACCGAAAATAAAATGGTAATTATTCCGTAAACATTCTTTTGCATAAATAAATAAGCCATCAAAAAATTTACATAAATTATATATATAACTTATATAACTTTTGCGTAAATAACTTCTATTTAAAAAAATAAATACTTCATAAAATTTAAATAAAAAAATATTGCGTATCAAATAAATAAAAAAAACCACTATAAAGCATATAAATAATCGTATAACTAAAAGTAACATAAATCTAAAAAAGAATCTTATTGATTTTTACATTTACACGTAGAATACATCCACATTCAAACAATACTGCAGTACAGTATATGAATCTTTTTATGTTATTAAAAAAAGGGAGAATTTACACATCCGGACCCAAATTTGAAAATAATTACGAATAAAGGCTCAACTTAAAAATATTTATTTATAAAGGCCTAATTTTTAAAAATATTACAAATACTGGTAATCATGAGATTGTTGCACAATCACTCACCTCACTCCATAACTACATGAAATTGTAGGTAAAGAAATAATATATGGCTATCAATTTTTACTAAGCAATTATGTTATTTATTTAATATATATATATATATATTAAATATGTATAAAGAATAATGATTATACGAATTAAAAAAAATTCGTTACATTGGATTAGCGAACCATTTTAATTTAATTTTAGATGTATAATATAAAGGCAGCATTTATATGAATGCAATTTCTTTGTAAATTAATTTTCTTTCTGCCTACGTCTTTGGTTACAAGTTCATATATTATGACCTTTTTTACTGCATTTTGTGCAAGTATTTTGGTCTTCTGGTACCATTTCTCCAAGTAAATATCATCCCAATTTGTAATGTATTTGACAACAATAATATTTACAATCGAAGATGAGATGATTTTATAAGCAGATTGTTAGAAAATCGAGAGAAAAAAATTTACTAATATATAAGTGTATTTTATACTCATATATTGAATATTGATTACTAATTTACATTTGTTAATCTGTAGTAACGATGACATTTCATATACGCCAGAAGTAAAATTTGAAATACGTACGTACTTTGCAGAAACCTTTGATTTTGCTAAATATATTTACTATATAATAAGAATATAATTTAAATATAATTAAAATATAATTAAAATATTTTTTATTCTGTTAAGTTACTTTTAACAATCTTTTTATCATATTGTTATTAAATATTGCACGTAGACAGGTTATGTCGATCACCGAATCGAAAGAACTACTTAAGTGCAGATTTTAATTTACTTTATATTCAATATTTAAGGGCACCTATATACCTAAAATTTCGTGCTGAAAAACTTTTGCTTAGAAGTCAAACTACGGTTGTCATAGTAAAATCTTGAGTTATTTACGCTTTCAATGAGTAAACAGAAAAATCGTAAATAACTCAAGATTCTACTATGATAACCGTAGTTTGACATTAAGCAAAAGTTTTCAGCACAAAGTTTTAGGTATATGGGTACACTTAAATATTGAATATAAAGTAAATTAAAATCTGCACTTAAGTTCTTTCGATTCGGTGATCGACATAATATTATTTGATTATTTTAAACAGATTGCTATTAT